CACCTTGCGATGAAACTCCCCAATATTAATACTCGCTGTATTTTGAAAACTGTTATTCTTACGCCCCTGTAATATCCAACTTTTTTGTTCATTTATGATTACTCTATCTCATGCTGAAATAATGGCAGTCAAACTTATTACACCCTGTATGTATTTAAATATGATGGAATGTAAGATAAATATTTCCGATTATTTATCAATTTGTGTATATGTATAATATACCCTGTTCAGTTTATTAAATCAATAACTACCATTGTCATGTCGTCAAATATTCATATCCTAATTTACGTGCAAATTACAAAATCATAGTAAAATTAGCATAAAATTGTGCGTAAATTTCGTGTTATTGTGATGCAATATAATATACCATACATATATTGTTTGACACACATTGTTTAGTGTTGATAGTGGGAAATTCTAGTAATTACTTTCATATGTTTTTAAAAGATTTTCTACAGTGTAATCGCGTACATATTTATTTTTATTGTAAGGAACCTGAAACTCAATTTTTGAAGTGTATGCGTCGTTCGGGTACGAATGCAAAGCCTACTATACTCATTTTTATATTTTGTTTGACAAGTGACAGATAGTAGTTTCCCCTCAAAACGCTTTTGTATCAAATACCTAGTTAATTTTATTAAGTTTCAGTAAATTTTTTTCTGACCGAATAATTTTTGTTTTTAATACTTACTGATTTACTTACCACATTGACAGGGTGAAAACTTGTTTGGTACCACTGATTTCAAAGTCACAGCATATGTAGTACACCAACGGTTTCATTTCCTTGTAGGCATTTTGATCTCATTCAGCCGTTTTCTCTGTCCTTTAATGGAGAAAAAAGTTATAAATAACTGAAATTAATAAGAGTGACTACTTGGTATAGATTATTTTATTAAATGCAAATTTACCAAAAATAAATAGTAAGACAGAAACAGCAGTAAAAATCGATATGTAGGTACGTCTAATTCTTGGTGTACTTCCCCTTAATTCGTGAAACATCATACAAACGAGGATGTTTCTAATAGTAAGTAATAAAATTTCGGAGAAACCCCACTCCCTTTTAGTACTGACGCGAGGGTTGAGGTGGAAGTAACACATAAATATTTAGGTGTACGGTTTTTTACCGAATGGTTAACTAAGGGCGAACCGAAACTTGATAACACGTCAATGTAAATTTTATAGGGTTTTCACTGCGGGCGTAAAGGATATTGGATTACTGAATTTTAATGAATTGGTTGAGCTTAAAATGTTCTCTTCGGGAGGAGAGAAAATTTAATTAGGGGATTGATGATTAAAAATTAATGCATCACTTTAGTATCTAACCATTTCCAGTTTAAGCTTTTAATTTCATGGTTTAAGTTGGACCACTGAAATAAAAGTTAAATTAAGTGGTCCGACTGGGATACAGATTTAACAATTTAAAAAACCAGATGAATTGGGAAAAAGCTCTTCCTTACTTTTCCGAAGCAAAATATTGGAAAAAATCGAAGACTCGAATTAAACATTTTCTTCATGATAATTGGTTACAAAAAAAATACGTCTTCTTGATTTATTCGACAGAAACAACAAATTCTGGGCAAATTTAATACATATTCTTAAAGTAGTTAATTTCAGGAAATCTAATACGGCTGCTATAATAAAAAACGAGTAGGTGCTACAATAATTGGAAAAGTAAAATTGAATTCATTAAGTCCTACTTAAAAGTATTTTAACGATGTAAACATGCAAATAAAAGCAGGGACGAAACTTTTTACTTTCAAACGAGGAAAAGTTGGTGCCAGAGTAAAATTTTAGCAAGTCTGTCATCGTTAGTAAGATTCGAGAGTAAATCGTTCATTGTGTTGTACATAACACGATAAAAAATCGAGCTTTTCGCAAAAACATAATTTTGGACACATAAGCGGTGCATGGGGAACAACGTAACGCATTTTTATCGACTACTAAAAGTCAAGAATGATAAAACAGTCGAATTAGCGATAATCTGTGATTTTCGGTACAGTTCTAAATTTGTTTGATTTTGATTATAGTTCAGTGAAGTGAATACCAATTATAATTAATTAATTAATTAATTAATTAATTAATTTATTTATTTTACATTGCCCAATATACTAGATCCACTTATAGAAAAAGACAAACAAATTGAACATAAAAGTGATCACAATTACAAACAGGGAATTAGTAATACAAATAAGAGCTGTATAAAAGTTTGATTAAACGCCTTCTACATATAGTACTAATATGGCTTCATGTTCCAGTTTGTGTTTAATGAAGGAATTGTAGACAAATTTGCAAATGTAGCCCAATATCTTAAAACTCCCATTGACATACTATAAACATGCAATGAGAAAGATAGTTTTAGAGTCCAATAAAACCCAAAGATCTTTAAAGCTGTTACTTCTAGGAAATAAAAGAAGTATCCAATGTAAAAGACAATAGCGTTATGTTTGAAAGAAATTATGTTGCGTTTGTCAATATCTAAAAATAGTTTATTGGATGATGCATTCACTCTGCTCACGCTGATTAAAGGTTTGGACAGTCGTACAGACTATCTAAACTTGAATATCATTTCAATTCATCCGCGTATAAAAGATAATTTATGTCCAAGTCATCAACAATATCATTTATAAAAATATAAAAAAGAGTGGTCCCAACTGAACGCTATGGAATACCAGAGGTTGTGATAAATGTATTCCATTTAATACCATTGCATCCTACTAGCTGCAAGAAAAATTTTACTAAATTTGAAATGTAACGGATATATGAAAGTTACGATAATGTAACACCATGCACTTTTGCATTGGCATAAAAAGCAAATGTTATAACTGAGCAGTGCAAAAAAAAATTGTGCCAGATGTTGGCGATCAGTTAGTTAATTCTTCACAAATGTAAAAAGGGGTTCACAATGAGTAAATTCAAATCCTTTAGAAAGATTGTTAATGATCGTAATTGACCTGTAGCTTTGAATATTTTCTTTATCACTTTTCTTAAAAAAAGGAAGTTTTGAGAAAACATTGTATTTTAAGGATAGATTAAATAATACAATTATGGGTGGAGTTCTTGCATATTGCCTAATGAATCGCGTTTTTTAGGGCAGCAACTACTTGAGATTCAGAAAACTGTGTCACCATTAGAAAATCGTTATTGACCCCTGTGTCAATACCATTATAAGAACTAGATGTAGAGTATGAACCTCGAAAACATTGAGCAAATAAATTAACTACACTTTTAACTTCAGAAGTTTCAGTATCTGTGTAGATATAGAACATAATAATTTGTGTGATTTACGGTTCATACTGATAAACTCCCAACAGTTTAGAATCATTTGTTAGACTATGTTCTATATTAAAACATTATTGTGTATAGTAGCACCCAATTCCGCTCTTAATAAAGATCCTATGCAGTTTAAATTCATCTACGGCTGATTGATCTTGTGAGTGTTTGTAATCTCTCTGAACTCTATATTTAAATTCTTAATAAGCTCTTATTATTGTTCTTGTTGAACCATGGAAAATAATATAGGTTTGTAATAAGATTTTTAGGAATAAATTGATCGATTATAGAATAGAATGTTAGACAGAAATCCCAGCCGGTAGTAACTAACTTCTGATAAAGACCAATTAGATTTCCTCGACTATAGTTATATCTGCGGTTGTATTTTCAGTTCGTTTCAAATTGCTTTCCTTTTTAGTCGGAAGAAATAAGAAGAGCAGGATGATGTAAATCTTTAATAAATAAGGAACGCAGGGATTTGATTTAAAAAACTTCATGTACAAACAGACACAAATAAGTGTGTTTCTGATTCACGCTGAGAGAGAGAGTAAATGCCCAGTGCGCACTTGTAGGTAGGGCTGTCTCAGACTCGGTCGTTCTCTACATATTTAAAAGAAATCCTTCTTTATCTTTAGATGTACTAGTTTTGACATTATGAAATATAATATGAGAAACTGCAACTTATTTTTGGTATAACACGACCCAGGTGTAGGTGCATTGAGACAAGAAACGAAAATTATTAGCTAATTCTTTGTAAAGTTTTTTTTACCTGGAGAAGAACTTTGTAAAAGTGAACAGAACATGTTTTTAAACAGTTCTATAAATACTTTCTGTTCAACACATTCTGTTGTGTTGTAGTTTCCACTGTATTTAACTATAAACAACTGAACTGAAAATTGTCGGTATTGCTACTAAAACCCAGCTGTTCATTTGTTCTGCGGAAAAAAGTTCTGAATGCCCGTTGGTGTCCGGGCCGACTTTTGTCTTCTCCCAGCTTCTGACGGGGTGTATTTCCCCTATCCTTTCTGGAACTTTGTTTCCTTTGAAAAGTTCCAGATAACAAACAGTTGTTAGATCAAACAGACGGTTTACTTATAACGCCTGCGTCCAGTTCATATTGTATGTCTTCTGCTGATATTGAGTTCCTTTGTTTATTACCGCAAATATCTTCCAACTCTCCAACTTCCACATCTTAATAAATTTAATTTCAATCTTCGTTTTGGGCGAGCTACAGAGCGAACGCCGACTGGATCTCCGTAGCGAATCAACGCTGAATATTGAGTTTAACTAAACAATGAAAAAATTGTATTATATATTGAAATGAACACACTGTATCTCGAGAAACGACACCGAGTAATAGCAGAGAAAATTTCATGAAATTATAATGTAGACTCTAAGAAAGACATAAATTACTTTTAAATAAAATTAAATATCTCCTTTCATAGTTATTTCATATAAAAACTAAAACATTATCAGTCAAAATTTAACTAATACATTGTAAAAGAGAAGCATGTCAAGAAAATAAAGTTTAGGTTCGAAGTAGAAGCATGAAAGTAAAAGAAAAATGCCACAAGAAGGGCCAATTTAACAATTTTACGAATAACTAAACGTTAAATAATCTAGTACAAAAGAAAATTCAAATATTATAGTATCAGAAAACACATAGGCTAGAAGTTTGTTATAAAAATTTGTCATGCAGAATGTCATATAAAAANTATAAATGACTTGTTTTCGATTCCAAGTAAAGGAGAGATCATTGGATATGCAGATGACACTGCCATATTCTATAAATCGGAGTCATGGGATGAGCTGAAAGAAATTGTTGAAACTGATTTGGTATTTATGAAGAACTGGTTTGATTATAAGCTCTTAACGATTAACTTTGAAAAAACGAATTATTTACCTTTTAGTTGCACTAAGGTCAATTTACCTCCTTTTGACTGTATAAGGATGAATACGGAAGCTACGTCATATACCATCTTACCTAAAAATGAAATCAAATATTTGGGAGTATATATAGACATCCACTTAAGATGGGATATACACATTAACTATGTTTTAAAGAAACTTCAGTTCATACTATACAAATTTAAATATTTAAAAAATATTCTCAGTATTCAGCAGCTTATAATTCTTTACCATGCTCTTGTCGAAAGTCATCTAAATTATGGAATACTGGGTTGGGGCGGATTAACAAAAAGTTATTTAACTCCTTTAAATATTATACAAAAAAGATTTTTGAAAGTAATACTTTCCAAAGATACGAAATTTCCGTCGGACGCTCTATATATAGAAGCGAAAGTCTTTGATGTAAGACAATTATACTTTTATAACTTAAATGTTAAATATCATGGAATTAAATCTGTAGACAGTTTACCAACACATAAATATGTCACTAGACAGAAAGATAAATATAATATTCCTTTTAGGGCAAAAACAATTGGGCAGAGATCATTTGCCTTTATGGCTCCAAAGGTATATAATACTGTTCCGAAACTAATTCAAAATATAAGGAATATTCATTCTTTTAAAAGAAACTTGAAAACCTATATGCTATCGAGTCCCAGAAAAACATTTGATGACCTCTTTGATTAAAAAAAAAAATGTGCGCAATAATTAAATTAAGGTGTCGTTTGTTTGTGTAATTAGATTTATCATTGAATTATAATTGTTCGTATGTGTAATTTAGGATTTTTTGTGTTATACTTTGTTATATTTTATTGTGTTTAATGTAATTTATGTGCTCGAAACAAGTGTTAATTCACTTTTCGAATAACCTTTATTTACCTACGATAGTTCTTAATTCCACTTTTAAGTGTATACATAAGATTTTATTTGTTTTTATATCCGTTTACTTGTATATACGCACCTTTACATGGTTGTAAATAAGTAGGATAAATAAATATTATTATTATTATTATTATTATTATTATAATATCTATAAGAAATAATTTATTTGCATCATATCTTAGTATTTAAGTATAAGAGGTTTATTTTTTTAGTAGATGCTGAAATTGTTTTATTTAACTCGAAATAGACTACAAAAAATGTTGAACAAAAATTCAGCCACATCTCATTCCTGTGTCAGTTTCCAAATAGTGTAATAGGAATAGAGAAGGAAATCAGGGTCTTGATTTCTCTCTGGCTCTGACTTGGCTAAATTTGAAATTACAATTGCGCAAAAACTAATGGTCCGACAGCGCCTGCCTTTTGCAGAATTAAAGTTGACATAATTGCCTACTTCTATGCCAAGTTTCAGCTTTTAATCTTCATAAATGACAGTTATGAATTTTTGAAAAAGGGCCGAATTTTCCAGGTTTTCCGTATTTTCTCCGGGTCTAATCAACCGATGGAATCGTTCGATCTCTCATTTTCTTCGAAATTTAATTTCCTGTAACTTTTCCATTTACGGAATTGAGATTGCTCTAGTAGTTTTGGTTTTATAAGCAAAAACTAAAAAAAAACGCGTTTTTGCACTAAAACGTTAATAACTTAATTAATGAGAGTTGTGAGTAGAAAACACATCAGAGTATATCTGCGGACTGTCTTTTAAATGATGGCACAGGTGGTATGCTGTTAGTATTTTTGTCACACAAGAAACCTATATTGACTGGCCGATAAACCAATTATTTATAATCTAGTAGATCAACTAGCATTTTAACATTAAGGTTATGTAAAGGATATATTATTTTATAAATACATTGTTAGTTAATAGGTACTTAATATTATATTGATGTTAACAGTATGGAACATTTTCTTACTCTAGACATCTGTCAATTTTTCAGTTCAGTTTGCCGAGTCTGCAAACATCTAGTGAGATTTTTTGACAAATTCTTGACTGGACTCTGTACTTCGAAATAGTACAATTTTCGTTCTTACCACTTTTATTCTACAAAAAATATTCCAAACATTTTTTCAATCACTTTATAGTTATTTGTTGTTTATCAAATTTTTAATCTGACGCCCCTTGTTCCACATTTAATGGTATTTTACAAAATTACCACATGACTTTCTCCATCAGATAATCGTTATTTTTTATGTACTTTTTTAATACTACTTCATTTTTCTAAAATGTTTGTTAAACCTTTCTGAATATATGTTTAGTTTTCTCCTGTTTTCCCCGTTGTCTTCCATACTATGTATCGCTCTGTATTCTTGTTTGTATGCAATGTATGGAATGTATTCATATATGAATATTTACTATAAACCTTAATTGTATTTGTAGGAAAGATATTTCGCATGCTAAAAGAATCACCCTGTATTCTATCGATCGATAATTGCATGCGAGAGCCTCGTGTCCTTACCCTAAATATAGGTGCCCTATATCTTCAAAGAGTCAACGTGTTCAATACAGATTGCCTTCATTAATATGAAATCTGTTCAGGGACGATTAATTAAAATAATGATGCATACTATAATTCGCCATAACACTGCAATTTACTGTCATAACATTTGAAAATAAATAGATATTCAGTTCATAATGGGTAAGTGTGTGTCTATGATTATTGGTATTGGTAAGAATGTCAAATCTGTTTTATTGACAGATAATTATTTAAGTATTATTTTAAGGGTCCACATTATGCATCCCATCTTCACGTCACTTTTAAAGATACAAGAAATGATATTTCAATTTTGATGAACATGAATATGCTAAAATTGAACAAATAAAATGTTCAATAAACTGGACATGTATTTGGAAACTATGAACAGTTAAAAATCAAAGACTGGGACGTTATAGGTCAGAAACTTCAAATCGTGCACGCTATGGATACACAGCAAATACATATAAATACCGACCAGAAGACCTAATATCCAGTTTCAGAGATTCTCCTCAACAAGAAGCTATAAGTTACTCCAAATGTCAAAAAATCAAAACCGACGACTTGGCAACTAATCAAGAAATTGTTCTTGTTTGGAATTTTAAGATAAATTGATAGGAGACAATTTCACTCTAATTTTGGCAGAGTGGAATATATAATTTTGAATATCTTTGACATACAAAAAATTTCGTGAAATGTATCCTAAAAAGTAAAATTCAGTGGAAAAACCCATGCGGTGCCATTGCGGTACAACAATACCAGTAAAGTTTGATACACAAAGCCAATAACAAAGCAGGCTAACTTCATTTCGTAAGAGAAACTTCTACATCCGTACGAGAACTTATCCTCGGACCTAATCCAAATCTTTAGCGGAAAGTGAGCTTTTTGCGCGGAAAAAGTTCGAGTCATGAGTCAAGTTGTAAACACAGGGCCCCGGCGGCGTATTCTTTTTATTATGGACGCTGTTCGCCTTCATTTTTAATAGAACGACGCTGATAATGGCGATAGATGAGAAAAAATGCCATTGACATGGCTGAATTATTGATGTCTTCGGAGGGGAGACTTGTCGATCGTATAAACGTACGTCAACGGAATATTGAAATATTAAATATTTATTATCTGCCGAGAGGTCGGTGTTTACACTCGAAGATGAGTAATGAATCTTCATTGATGTATGACTTCTCCTCAGTATTCTCGGGGAATATCTGTTCATTAAACTGAATTCGATAATAATTCACAAAAATGAAGGGAAGTAGGCCATTTTATTAAACAGGAAAGATTTTTCTGAATAAATATGTTTACTTGCAACTTGATGTGTTAAATGGAAACAAACAGTTTTTCAATTATGACAAATAAATACTAATCGGCTAATAGTAGCTGCGTTATTTTAGTGGATACATTTGCAATACACTGTAAACAAATTTCACTCAAATTTCATCAGTTTTATTCAGTAATATATCAATTTCTGTCCACACCCGATTGAGTGAAATTTTCACTCTATTAGTATGAGTGCAACAGAGTGAAACTATTGCATCAGAAATGAGTGAGGTTTACTCAAATTTGAGTTACTACTATCAATTGAGTCACTTTTCACATCACATTCTGAGTATATAAAACCAATTTAGAGTTGACTTTTTCTCTAATATGATTTAAATTTAACTATTTTTGAGTAGTTTTTTACTCAGACTTGGTTTATATTCTCCTTAAATTTTAATTTACTTGTCATTGTATTAAAGTCAAACTACTAAGCTGTGGTTTCTACACAGATCTGTTTTAGAGACAATATTTTAGGTCTCGATTGAAGGAATTGGTGAACTGATCGGACGAATAGATTGCCATAACCTATATTGTACGTTAAAAATACGTAATTATGGATAATAAATTTAACTATCCGTTTATGTAGCCAAATATAATCGAGATGTTAATCAATTAATATATCGTCTTTAATTATTGTAATTAAATCACTGCATTTAAAAATAATTTTCACTATAGAATAACCAGATAAACCGATACTTGTCCAACTTCAAAGCACACCATACGCCATACTGCCATCCACCACGCCACGGTCACGAGATAATCTAATGGAACAATGGGAACAGAAAAAGACAATGCGTCTGGATATGAAAAAGGGTGGGATCACTCCGTAATAAGGACATTTACCCTGATTTAGGTACAAGTGCACCAAATACGAGTTTACGTGAATAATTTATTTAAGGAGTACCTATATTGGAGTGAAAGCACTCAGTTTTAGTTTAAATATAATCACAAATGAGTAAAATGATCAAAATGCCCAATATTGAGTGAAAATGTACTCAATAATTTCAATCCGAACCTTTTTGCTTTCACCGATTTTTTTTGCAGTGTCCACTAGTATAAAGAACAAGGAAATGACAAACGCAAATATCTCCAAAGTTGGAATTCTATGACTATCGGAATCAGAGTATTAATTGTGTATTCATCTCTACGGTTCCTATATAGAAATATCAAAAAATGACGAAATATGTGCTAAATATTTTAAGAAGATCCCTATTACAAAATTCTCAACACATTAAAAATATCTAAGATATAAAGGTTTCTGTTCTTCGCCTGTGTCTACTGTCGATCTAAAATTCGTCTTTTAATCTCTGAGGAAATCACAAGCGTCAGTGTTAAATGGCAGACCCTGTATACGTGTGTTTTATTTGATATGCTTACTCATAATTTGAGTTGCCAACAGAAATGTCTTTTATGGGGATGGAAAATCAGTACTGAAATAGAATCGCGTACAAAAGCGTCCTACTTTGTCTTGAATGGCAAAGATTACAATCGGTATAGACTGATATCGATTACTTGGCGGTGCCGGATAAAGCGTTCGCCGTGCAGACATGCTTCTATTGTTTCTTCGCCGAGGCCAATTTCAATGAATTTTTATTAGCATGCTATTGATACTTCGGAACCAGTAACGTCGGTCCTGATTATTTGTAGCTTCATTATCTTAACGA